TAGGACTATTAGGACATTTTTTGTTACACTGTCAGGAAATGCTAACAGTGAGTAGAAAAAAATTCCAGCTGTTACATTTGATTTTTAATGACTAAATGTAAATATCTAAAGTTAAATTAAATCATGACCGTTTTTTTTTTTTTTTTCTAAATATTTCATCATTGGAAATGTCCCTAGATTTACATACAGAAGTCTGATCAGCACAGACCACAGAAAGTCCCCAAAGTGATGAGCCAACAGAGCTAAAGCCCCATTACAACTTTTCTGTTGGATTAAATCAACATTTAGGTAAACTTTGATACAAATATTTGAAACCACATTACAAAAACAGTATTTCCAGAGTAGAAATTTCCCCACGCAGCAGAACCAGTTGACGTGATTCAACCTGCGGTCAAACAATGGCTGCGGTTAAACGAGGTAAACTGAGATTTAAAGCTGGGATAGAGGAGCAAATCCCATGAAAGCAGTTGGTGTTGTTTTAATGTGCGTGCTTGGATAATAGCTAGAAATGAGAAGCAGTCATTGATTCAACATAAACAAGTCTGAACAGAGGACAGAATCTGACATTCAAACAGAAAAATGTAAATTATGACGAACTGGAGTCACAATTACGGCTTTGACCAAGGAGAGGCTGCATCACGTAATCAATCCACCTAATATGGCTCTACTGATGGGACAAAAAGCTCGGGGGCTTTGGGTTTTAATTTGTTGTAAAAAGATTGAAAAAAAAAAAACAAGAAAAAAAAACAAGACATTTGAATGTTTAAATCTAAACGCCATGCTTTGTTAATGAAAGTGAATGATATTGATCTCAAAGAGGGGCAAAAATATCATAATTGGTAATAAATATTAGAACTTTGTATATACTAAACAGAAAAGAACATGCAAGATTATTAATTCTAAAAACTTCATATTTTAATAAACAGAAAAAAAACTTTACTAAGAATTATCCATTTTTTTCTGTGGGAGCAGATGACATCACAACTAAGCAGTTTATTGATGTGTAATTTTGTTGAACTATGCACAGATTGTAACTGTACAAATTATAATCGTTAAAATGTATATAACGAATATATTATTATATTCAGTCATCATATAATATAAATAAAATATTAATATTTTCAATTATTTTGTTTACATATTGGAAACATGAGACTAAAAAGCTCAATAAATGGGGAAAATGTCAAACGTATGCGAATGTGTACTTCTCAACTTTAATATTTAATTCAAAGCTTAATTTAAAAAACAAATGGAACTTTAATGCTAAATTACAAAGAATTAAAATATGCCAATATTTAAAAAAAATAATAATAATAAAAATACAGGGTCTTTGATATATTTTTTTTTTTACTTGTGAGAAAATAAAATGAATCCATGTGGGGCAGTTTTTGTCTAATTTGAGCAGATCATAAAGTTAGCCAAATGTGCCATGCAGGTTAAATGAATTACTATGCACACATTTTAAGGGAAGAACTGACATGTCTTATTCTCTTTGACACAAAGTTAAAATGTTGTGTCTAGATCCTTCTGAATAAAAAAAAACAAAAAAAAAAAAAACAAACTGGCCTCTAAAAGTCCACAGGCCCATTAAGATTTCCCCTTTTCTTTTCAGCATAAAAACTAGTTATTCAGCAGGCAAACAGAAAAATGAAGCTGCTGGAGGCTATAAAACAGTGAAAGTGCTTCTCCAGCTCAGAGCTAAAGAGACAGAGCTGTGCAATGTCAAGGAGAGGCACCCAGTCTTATTTAATCCTGAGCAGCCCTGCAGGATGATGCAGAGGACAACCTGTTATGTAACACCCAGAATGCTGCAGCAGCACAAATGTCCAGGAACAGAGAGCTGCAGAGAGTGGACATTACAGCACAAAGATGGAGGGGAAGGGATGCAGCTTTTCCATATATAAAGACAGAACACCTGTGCATACAGCTGCAGGTAACCTGTATGCTGCCTGCATGCACTGACAGGAGATAATTAATTCGTTATTGATTTAAAAAGAAACAGGATGAAACTTTCCCAGTTTACAGAAGACTTGATTCTTTAACATAAAATTATTAAGCTTCTAAGCAGTTAAATTTAATATCCAACTTGCATTTATTCATGTCAAGCTTCACAGTAACATTATTATCATTATCTCCCTTTTCTCTAAACAAAAATACCATTACTTGTATCACCATAGGTAGAAGCTGAGGGGAGTAAAATGTTACACAAGTCCAAACAATTGAGGAGAAGGTAAGAGCACACCTACCGTCTGCACATGTCACCATGCAGGCTGCTGCAGCAGCGGGGAGCAGAGATGACACCTGCAGCGTTCACCTGAACCCCGAACCCGGAACCAGACTCCTCCTCCTCTCACACAGTCAGGTCAGCTCATTCTGCTTGGTTCCACGGCGGATACCGATGATCCCCCGAACCTGTCAGGTGTTATCAACTAGGAGCCGATCAGGGAAATAAGTCACCCACTCAAAACTGCTCGCGGACTATATTTGTTGGCGGAGGATTACAAAAAGGTGAAGGCGCTTATTTGGTTAAGAAAAGACGTCAGAAAAGTTAACAAAATATATATATTTTTAAATGTTTTTGTTTCCTTATATATATATTTAATTGTATTTCCGATGTAAGGTGATAACATTCTAACGGATTACTTCCAGTAACCGTTAATAAATAAAGGAATAAATAAATATGTTAAACTTGATCAAATCACCAGTTAGTGGTTAGAAATGGCAACACTGCCACCTAGAGGTTAAAGAAAGAAACTGCGTTTAAAACCATCTCTGTTAAACCCATCAGAATATTATGGAAGACCGTTTCCACCACATGAAAATAAAAAAAATACAAAATAGAAAGTCATAATTAGGAGATTCAAAGTCATAATTTTGACTTTCAGTCATAATAATGAGATATTCGACTTTTAAACTTTGTATTTCATAATTATGTCTTTAAAACATGAAATTCTGACTTTGAATCTCATAAATATGACTTTGTTTCTCATTACTATGACTTGGAAACTTGAAATTATGACTTTGACTTTCATAATTATGACTGAAAGTAAAATTTTTTACTTCTTATCTAATAATTATGACTTTGTTTCTTTCATGAGGTGGAAACAGGCTTCATTAGAATATGGAGCGAGTGCCATAATACAAAAAAATTACTCGTGGAATGGTTGTTTAAACATATAAATGACTTATTAAGACTTGAAATAAATACAGAAATGTATTTATTTATTTATTGTATTGGCACTGGTCACCCTCCATATAAGACCTTTTGTCACTTTAAACCTGATATGTTGAGACAGTTATGAAATGTTGGGTATTTTTTACTTTTGTCGTTTTTTTTGTTTTTTTTTACTTTTTTATATCTTACAGTAATGTCTTAGATTTAAACCCTCCTAGTTCTGTTCTCTGGAGACGTTCAGCATGTTCGGGCCTTTAAAAGAAAATTATGTGATGATCTGAGGTCTATAAGCCCAAAACAGTTTGCTTTTGATGCTATTCCACCAGCTGTTATAATGCTATTTAAAGGTCAGACTTCCCTGTCCTCTGAAGGCCCGAGCCCTCTACCTGATCCAACTGATACTTATGTGGGTAGACGGTGTTTTCAACCAAAATCTTCTAAAAATAACAAACATATTCACTCTTTATTCCAAGATAACTGCATTTCAGTTGCTTATGTTATTTCAATCTGGTCTGGTCTGATCTCAGAAGTATGTTGGAACAAAACATGGTCTCTACCCAACAAGTATCTTCTAGTAAACAAGGTTAAAGATGTTTCCTTTAAGATTATTAACCGCTGTTACCTGGTTAAGTCATTTTTCATTAAATATAAAAAGGATATTTATACCACCTGCACTTTCTGTAACAGTTACTCTGAGTTTGTCTCTCACCTGTTTTAGTCCTGAGAGTACACCAGGCGTCTATGGCAAGGTGTTTGTCGCTTCATTCTGGACAACATTTACGACAAATTTGAACTTTATTTTCAGGATGTTTTATTTGGAATTACAGGATATATAAAATTACTCTCTGACCATTTCTTTTTATGTAATTTTTTGCTTCTGTTGGCCAAATTGTATACCCATAAATGTAAAATTACTATGACTAAACCCTCATGTATTTCTTTCTTAAAGGGAGCAACAGTTTATTTATCTACATTATCCTCTTCCAATAACAAAAAGGCTGTTAAAACTTTATTATTATGCTCAAAATTCAAAATATTTATGTAATCCCCTTATGTGCTTATATCTTCACTTTACTATTTTTATGTTTATTCAGGTATTTTTTTTTTTTATCTATTATTACTATTTGTGTTCAAACCCCTGGCGATTGTTCCTTGGAAATTGTACTTATATCTTCTTGTAGTACAAAATTCTTTAATTAAGCTTAAAAAAATCCATTATCTGAGGTCATTAACCATTTTCAGCTTTGTAACCTCTCTTATTATTATTACCTACTAAACACTCGGAATCAATTATTAGTGGTTATGTTTGTAAATGATAAAGTAAAGTCAAACTTAGACAATAAAACTCAAAAAACGACAAACCATTAACACACTTCTCTACCCGTTAATGTAATAAAACAGGAAACTGGAATATTCGAGAGCTAGCTTTCAAAGATGCTCCAATTAATAACGTTGATTGTTGAATTTATTTTGTCAATATTGTTTTACTTACAGTAGTCCTTCTCCTATTTTTGAAACATAGAAAAAGCTTCAATGTTTAATAATTATACATTAGAGCAGGTGAATTAGTAAATTTACCGATATAAGCTAACGATAAAGGGAGGACTTTCAAAATAAAGGCGGAAGGATTTTAGGAGAACAGGATGTTTTAATCATAAATCATCTTTTATTAATTTTCCGTGTATAGAATTGCGTCCAGGTGTTGAAAAAAAAACTTTAAGGTAAAACTTCCTCTAGTGTGGATGTCCACAAGCGTTTTTAGGCGAAACTCACATTTATTTTGAAAACTTAAGAAGGAAATGAGCGCGCTAACGGTTCCGAACATGACGCCAGTGATGCGGTCAGACCGCAGGGACTGACCCGGGTACCGACCGAGAGGAGCGGTGCTACCGGACCGCTGTCTGTCGGTTTATCCAAACAAAGACACGGAATGATGGCTGCTGTTCCCGGGCAGTGCTGGAACAGCAGCGGCGGAAAAAACAGCTCCGTTGTCGGTGTGAATGCGGGAATTTAACCGCTGACGAAGACAAGCCGTCGGGCTCCTGTTCCTCTCCATCTCCTCCATCTTGGATGTTAGTGATGATGGAGCACATCCGGACTCCAAAGGTAAACGCGGACATTCCTCTGTTTCCTCTTTTTGTTTTTAGTCTTTGTCTTTTCTCACTTTACCTTCTGCTTGGAGGACATTTGATCTGTTAACCTGCTGGATCCTGACATTAGTCCGTTCAGGGTCATGGTTCCTTTAATTATTTAAGGAATATTATGGAACATGAGGAGAATTTAAAACGCTGTCCGATAATGGATTCATAGGGGGTTTAAAATGGGAATATCCATGTCTCAGATGGGATCTGGGCACTTCCGGTTCTTCTGTAACAGATATCCCATAATCTGTCCATCCATTCCATTATGAGCTCCTGTTAGATGATGATGATGATGGTGGTCTATGGCTTTTGTTCCACTGTTGTTCAGTCTGCTTCTGATCCATGTTTACTCTATGATCTCATCCAACCAATCAATGTTTGTGCTCCTCAGGTGGAAAATGTCCGTCTCCTGGACCGGTCAGCAGGCCAGAGGAAAGCCAGTGTGGTGACCCTCTACCTGTCCTCCACCCACACCATCTTTGTTGAGAACAACCCTGAGACACGCAAAGAAACCTGGGTAAGACCGTAATCAGCTGTTTATTTTTTGTGTTGTTTGTTTTTTTTTTAAACCATCATATTCCAGTTTAGGTTGATGTGTTCCATCACCCTAAATCTGACTCGGATAAATCCTTGTTGTAAACGTAAGGAGCCAATTTTGATTCGTACCTTCAGGCTGTGATTGCTGACCTGCTTCTCCATCTGTCAGGCTGCAGAAGGTTCACATCTCAAACATCCAGACCTGTTTAGACAGAGCGACGATCCTCAGGGGAACCAGCGAAGAGGCTGAGAGGTTCCATTGACCTCTGGATAACAGAGGTCATATAGAGCGCTGCTGTCAGAAAAAAAAAACAAAAAAAAAAACATAAGTAACATGTTCTTTCTCTACATATTAGCATCACTAATGCTACGCCCAGATGTAGCATTCAGGAGTTAAACAGATGGAAGAAGAGGAAATGTGGGACATTTTCTAAAAGGAAAACTGGAATCCTTAACAGGAACCAGACCTAAGTCCCTGAGATCGGCTGGTTCTCCGAAATGTGACGCGATTGTTCTGTTCTTCTCATGCTTCATTCCAAAATCCAGACCTCCACGTCACACAGCAACATGTCAGCCATATGAGGGTTAACAGTAGACTTTAGCGAGTGTTTTTAATCAAATGGAGGAACGCTCGAGGAATCCACTATGGACTGCTGCGTCCTTCCTCTCCTACAGGAGCTGGAGGTTCCCCTCCCTCTAGACCTGACTAGATGATGAAGATGTCATTTTTATTTTTTTTCTCTGGTGCTTTTTACTTCAACAGGAAGTGAGTTTTCCTCTATGGTGTCATAGGACGGATGACGCTGCGCCTGCTGATCCGTATCACCAACTTCTTGTTTTTTTTACAGATCAATAGTCATGCTGACTGGAGAAGCGGAAATGTTTTCCATGCTGAGTCTGACTGTGTTTGTGTTTCAGGTTCTGCACAGCATGGTGTGCAGCGTGGAGAGGCCGCCCACCACGCCCGCTGGAAGCCAGCTCATCCTTCGCTGCAAAGACTTCCGCGTCTTCCAGGTCCTCATCCCACAGGAGAGAGACTGTGTGGACGTCCACGCCTCGTTGGTCCGGTTGTCTCGACCAGGTGTTTGTTTGTTTCAGGATAGCAAGACTCTAAAGCTTTTTAGATTTTTTTTATTGTTTTGACTCTGGTTCAACTTTAACCTTTGTTCTCAATGCAAAAATTTATCTAAAAATAGTTATTAAAATAAGATCATTAGAATTGATGCATTTAAAATAAGCTAATGAGTTTCTTTTACCTCTTCTAAACGTTAAGCATCTTATATTGTGGCTGAATTGTCTTACATACCCGTTTAAATCAAGGCAACATATATTCGTTTGAAGAGAAATTGACTTGGTTATGTTTCAGTTTTTGCATTGAACCGAAATGCTCAAGTTCTGGACACACTGCAAAAAAAAATAGGTAAATCATTAACCAATTTTTCTTGAAATACGTTAATATCCCTTTGATTTGAGCAGGTAATCCACTCAATAGCTGTGGAAATAGTTTTTACTGTGATTTTTGAAAGCATGTTTTTTTATCCTTGACTGGTGGATAAAAAAAGTTCCAAATGCAGTACAATAGTGATAATAGTTGGAAGTCAAAATAACTTGCCATTGGTGTGTTTTCTATATACCGTATATTCATATATAGGCATTGAATTTAGTTTGATTATTGATGCAAATTTTTATAAATTGAAATGTATAAAAGAAAAAAAACAGGATTTTCTCTTCCTGGATGATCATTTAGAGACTGTAGATATTGGGCTGTTGACGGTACAGAAATCCCTCACACAGCGCATGCATGCAGTGACAGTGGAGAGGAAAACCTCCACCAGAACCAGGCTCGATATGAGCGGCCCTCTGCCGAAGCTGACTGGGGTTCAAGGAGACAGAAGCAGGCGTACAAAAGAAACCTAAAAGCAGTGATCTGTGTTAGAAAAGCTAACGATAAACTAGCTCCACTTGTGGCTCTGTCAGCGAAAGAAAAAGTGAATCAGACGAGCTCTGAGGCAGTTTTTAAGTCATAAAAGAAACAAACAGCAAAAGCTGAACCCATAGTTATAGGAGAGAAACAGGCCTAAAAACTATAAAAGAGGCCCAACTAATAGCAGCCCTGCTAATATTTCTCTCCAGGATGGAGTCGCAATCGTTGACCATTCCATTGGCAGATCATCATATTAAAGGGGTCATAGAATGATTCAATAGGGTATCTGGTGCTGGTCCTTATGGTCTCTGAATAGGGTGTGTAACATTGGTTGGGCTGAAAATGGCATATTTGCTGTTCTATGAGCCCTAATGCAGCCTGGTTAAAAGCCCCAGAACGAAACCACAAGTTTTCTTTCTTTTATGGTATGCTCATCAATATTTAGATGAGCTGTGCGCTGATTGGTTGGTTTACAACGAGCGAAGCTGCTGAGCAAAGAAGCATCATAGCAACAAGCACTCACCCACTGAAACATCAAATTGTTGATACGGTAGGGTGACCAGACGTCCTCCTTTTCTCTGACATCCTACTTTTCATACCTAAAAAAAATGTCCGGTGGGAATTTCAAAAGGTTCCTGCACCGTGCCCCATACACAAACACTTCATCATTCTTCCCCCTCACTAGACGTGAACTTATTTTAGTATATTCTGCTGTTAAATGAGTCTTAAATTTTAGTTTTTTACTGGAGGATTCAAGCTATTTTTACAGGATGCACAGCTTTGAGTGGTAACTAGGTGACTGTAAGAGAGTAAACCGAAACTTATTGGCTTATTTTTCTGACTAATCCAATCGGCACGCTCTCTGACAACCAGTCGCCTGGAACGCTCGATGAACAGAGCATCACTTTGGAAAGATACGCACAGGTTTCACAAGCAACCTCCTCCCCACACCACGCTCTCTCTTGTTGTGCCTGCGCAATCGCAGCAGTTCTAATCCGCACATGATGCACAGATTATTGTATTGCCTGTGCAACACCACCTCGCATTGTCTAAAATCTTGGACAATTTATCTGACTCGCGGGGATCCGTGAATGACTGTCTATATCAAGGAGACTCCCGGGAGACTTGGGATGTCTGTTACCAGCCCCCAGCCCCCCTCCTTCACCTGTTTTATGGTGGAAGTTTAGAATAGTGAGATTTGCAGAGAAAGGAGGCGTCGATGGGGTTTGAACTTCTCTGTACGTCCATTTCACCTACTGAACTATCGTTATTCATCTATGACAATGGAAACTCGGTTTTTCATTCTATGACCCCTTTAAGTTTCTTTAATTAAGGGCAAATCCAGTTATTTTTAGACCAGGTTTTGCAGTGTTTGAATGTTTGTTCAGCTTTCTCACTCTCACCTTTTGAATGTTTGAAAAAACGAAGTTAAACTTTTATTTTTCAAAGCAAAAAAGTAAAACTCTCTCAGAGTCAAATGGGCAGGTGACAAAGGCCACTTGAAAACGTCCCAGTAACATCTGTCTGACTGAAAGAACTTGGAGCAGGATTGATCCCGGCTCTTCTTTCCTCCATCAGAGAAGTACAGCGAGCTCTACTGCCTGTCCTTCAACCCCAACGTCAACAAAGAGGAGCGCGAGGAATCCTGGAGCTTCATCGACTTGAAGGCCGACTACAAGAGGATGGGTGTTCCCAACAACCTGTGGGTTTCCACGGCAGCCAACAGCGAATACCGGGTCAGTGTGAGTCACACATGATTTAGGTGGCGGTAGTTTAAAGGCGGGAACGGGAAAAACATGAGAACAGAACTGAGCTGTGTTTCTGCTGCAGGATCAGACGGGAGCAGATTCAGATGCTGTTCTTAGGCAGCAGCTGGAGGAGTCTAGGATCAGAGATGGTTGGTGAAGAAACAGCATTTAAAAGCTTGTAGAGAAGTTTCTAGAATTAGTTCATCTTTATATATATATTTTTGGGGGGGTATTCTGATGGATTAGGAGCTTTATCTAAACTAGAAATCCAACAAAAATGGTTTTTCAATGATCGTTACTAATGATCACGCGATCAGAACGGTACAGGATTAAAAAGGTCACCAGGAGCAGTCAGAGCCGGAGCCTGTATTGATTCATAAATTCACTGCACCAATAAAATAATTAAGAAACGTAATGCTGCGTTCACACCGGGCGCGGCAGAAGTAGCGAGTTTACATGCAAAGTCAATGGTTGATGCGCGTCAAGGCGCAGCAAAATGTCCCGCAGCGTGTTTTGAGCAGCAGGCGCAGCGCGTCGGGCGCGTTTAAGCATCTGACGTGTGTGATGCAGCACAAACGCGCTGCTGTTTGAAATGGAAAAATTTAACTTTTGCTGCTCAACGCACCGCGTCAACCAATCAGAGAAGCTGACCTGAGAGCTGGCAGAGAGACAGACACATCGCTGATGATCAGAGCGCTGTGATCGCTCCTCTGAAACAGTTCATTGACGCCTAAATTAACTTAAAATGCAGAAATCTGCCGGCAGAATATGTTTGCTTTTATTATTCTGGTGCCTGCAGTTTAGATTATTAAGATGAAAAACACCTACCAGCTGCCGCGGTGAACCGCGAGGAGGCGACCCGGCCAGAGGCTGCTGTTGAATGGGATTCCTACTGACAGCGCGCCGCTGGTATGTGAGGGTCTGAGTGTCTCCGACAGAAATAATATTGGAAGGTNCATATTAAAACTACTTTATTCCCACTGATCACAGCAAATATAGCTGCAAGGCAGAGAAAGGATAGTGTAGCTCCGCCCAACGCGTGTCACACACACGTTTGCACCACGCAGCCAGAGCAGCAAAGCTGCTTCAGCCGTGCATCAGAACTAACTGGTACAAGCAGCAAAAATGAAGCAGCAGAGACGATTTTGCTGCTCTTGCTGCGTCCGGTGTGAACGCAGCATAACAGTGGGAAATATGAGGCCGTATATGCAACCCGTTGGTTTATTCAGGGGCAGAAAGGCTGACCGTCTCTATGCGGATGAAGCAAAATGTGCAGAAAAATATGGATATATTTAAGGGAACAAGTGCAATAGCGCAGGCAGAACCGTCAGCATCAGAGCAGACTGTTGGGTGATAAACAGCAGAGGAGGAGGAGTTTATTTATAAAATCGAATAATTATATATTATATTACATTTTGAATAAAGTCTTTTTTAAATTACATTTAAATAAAAAGCTAAATTTTTTATTTTTTTCTTATTTGGACATTTAATTTCGTATTTTACAATTTGTTTTTTAGATATATTCACATTCTTGTAGGGTTTCCACCACATGTGGCCTCAACCCAGCAAGATAAACCCACCATAATTTCACAATGAATAAAAAGTATTTTTTTTTTAAGTAAAGCATATCTCAATGTTTATTTGTGCATTTATTATAATCCTAATCTGAGTTTAAAAATGAAACGATTTAAATTAAAACAGCAGGAGACAAATTCAGTGACTTTTCTCTGTATCTTCGGCGAGTTTGGCAACAGCAATGGTTCTCGTCCTGCTTCCCTGAGCGCTGTCTTACAGGCAGTCAGCGCAAAGAGGGCAGACAGGAGACCTGCTTCGTTTCCCACAGCTGATTTAGAAAACAAACGGTCCTGGTGTTTCTGACCTGGATTACAAAGCAGGATATAAATATAACATAAATACATTACGCACTAAGTCAAATCTCTTGATTTTAAACTGGTCTTTCAATTATAAATGCATGCATTATTTATTCCATAAAATGAGGCTTGATATTTTTCTTTATAACAACATATTAAAGACAGTGATGTAGGTGATTTTTATAGTTTTGATTTAGATGCAGATAACTCCCCCTCCCTCAGCCAACCATCACGTTCAGGTCTTTCATTCTATTGATTGTGAAACACCCCCACTGTTTCACTGATCAGACATATTTCTGGTTCTCTGATGATGATTTAACCTAGAAGATGAGCTAAAGCAGAACATTTCAGGTCTAGCGCCCCTAGTGGCTAAAAGTTATACAATGTTTCTTTAAAAAAGCAGGAACTGAACTTTGCTTCCAAAACAAAAGGAAAAAAGAGCTGCTTGGTCAGCCTCTACTTGTTCAGAACCAATCAAACTCGGTTTTATTTATTCCAGAACCATAAATGAATGTGTAGGAAGGAAACCAACGCCTTTTTATTGGCTGTGTAACCCAGGCTTTCCCTCTTTAAACTGCAACTGGTGGAAGAAACCCTATGGACTCTGCGTTGGAAGCAGACACAGGGCTCTTAGTTGTGGGGAGACCTTGGCGCGTTTATTTTGTCCACCTTTCAGGCAGTAAAACACACTGTCAGCAACCGTTTTTCTTTATTTCTTTTTTCCAAAATAATCAAACATCACCAGTACAAAATGTAATGTTTACTTAACTGGCAAACTAAACAAACAGAAATAGCTCAGTATATTAGTGTAATGTATATTTTACACCGGCTAGCAGAGCTGCTGCTTACCTTACAGGTAGTAAAACACACTGTAAGAAATACAGCAGTTCCTGTACAAAAATCCCCTGTACTACGGTGTCCCCAACAGGACAAACATGTTAGAACTGTAGTAGTGCCAGGAATTACAGAAAGCAAAAGCAACATCCTTTGGAGCATTTATGCACTGCGTTACAGCTGCATGGAGTTAGCGGATTGTGGAAGAGTTTGATAAACACCCTGCTAGCTTGTTTAGCAGAAATTTGTTATTCCCCTAGTAGTGAGACGCAGTTCCCCCTCTGTTTTATAGGTTTCCAGGGAGACGTTAAACAACATTTATTCATTACTTTGGAAAAAAACAAATATTATTACCCCTTAATTACAGGTCTCTGTTCCTCCTAACTTTCTGCACAACTCTTATCCAACAACAAGTAGAGACCCATCAGCTACCGAATGCATCATCATCATCATCACTCGGAACATGTTTTCCACGCTTTCCTCTGGTTGGAAAGCAAACGTCTCTCTGGACAAACCTGTTTTGTCACCATAGAAACTGAATTGCTAGCATGACAGTAAATTTCAACATTGGAAGATATTAGCTACACTTTTATTTCTGTATAAAGATGAATGTAATGGTTCTGTCTGCTGTTGCAGTACCATCCAGAATCTTTCTGAGGTCCAGACACTCAGAGCAGCTGTGCTTTTTTTTTTTCCTGCAGGTGTGCGACACGTACCCCGCTGAGCTGTTTGTGCCCAAGTCGGCCACGCCAGCCGTCATCGTGGGCAGCTCCAGGTTCAGGAGCCGAGGACGATTCCCTGCTCTGTCCTACTTCCACCAGGATACATTGGTCAGTGTCAGACACATGATGCCTCTCTGTCCTAACAGGGACTTCA